ATTGAGATACATCTCAGCCCTTTTTGTTTTTTATTTTGAGTCATGGTTTTACTGAGTTGCTCTGGCTGAGCTTATTCTTGTGATTCTCCTGCCTCATCCTCCTAGGGTACTGGTACTGCATGCCTGTGCTACCGTGCCAGGCTGCATCTTTGTATATCTAACTGCATCCTAGCATTGATAGTATATAATAAAGATGGAATTAGTTGCAGTGCTCCTTTTTTTTTTCCTATATGAGATTTTGTACTGGTGCATGTACGTTTGTACATTCAATAGTGTTTTTTTTCTTTTTTCTTCTTTTTTTGAGACAGGGTCTTGCCATGTAGTTCAGGCTGGCCTGGACTCACTGTGTAGGCCAGGCTGGCCTTAAACTCATGCAGTCTTCTGCCTCAGCCTTCCAAGTGCTGAGATTACAGGCATGCGCCACCACACCCAGCAACAGTTCTTATTTTAAAGCTCTATTTATACCCAGGGTAAAATACTACTTTTGTATACCTAAATTTCTCTCATTGGTATTCACTTTATTACCTCTCTCTAAGAGAAGGGTTTGACCCTAATTAAATTATTTGTAAATGATCTTTATGTAACCAACTTGATTAAGTTCTAAACTCCCACAGTCTTATATTCTAAAGACCATCAAGGCATATATTTCTTCTTAGCCGCTTTCTTGTCACTGGGACAAAATACCTGACACCTTCAGCTTAGAAGAGATTTGTTTTGGCCATGGTTTCAGTCCATGGGCAGCTGGCTCCAAGACAGGAAAAGGAAGGCTTTGATGCAGCAAAAGGTGCTCGACCCAGGCAGCCAGCAAGAGAGAGAGCAGGCGCCAGGGACAGGAGTAAACCCTTCCGGGTTGCAACCCCAAAGCCATCACGACCCACCTCCAACCGCCCCTAGCTCCTAACAGCACATTTAACCACTGAACTCATGAGTGGCCTAATCCACAGATGCGTACAGTACAGTGCCCCTAGGTGCATTCACGCTCCACACCCATGAGGCTTTGGGGGGACGTTTTAGGTCTAAATGATAACACTTCCCTCCCTGATTGTTCACTCAGCTAAAAAGCTATATTTTTTGAGTACCAACTTGGAATAGACCATTTTGCCAGGTTCATTAGAAGATATTAGTAAGGGTAAAGTGCAGGGCATGGTGGCACACGCCTGTAGTCCCAGTGCTCGGGAGGTGGAGGCAGGAGGATTGCTATAAATTCTAGGCCAGCCTGGCCTACACAGTGACACTTCACCTCAGAAAAAAAGGATGAGACATGGATCTTGCCTCTTAGAAATTTAACAGGATAACAAGGTGGTTAAAAGTACAAATTCTGAAGCCAGACCACTTAGATTTATATTCCAAATTCCATATTCTATCTGGTCTCTCTTGGACAAGATATTTAAACTTTCTGTGTCCCATTCTCCTCGTTTGAAAGAAAAGGCTAATAATAATACTTATAAAGTTCTGTGCTTATTAAGTGATAGTAATATGTCTAAAGCATTTTGGACTGTTTCTGGCACTTAGTAAGCACTTATTAAAGTGCTTTAAAACTTAAAACTCATTAAGTTTTAGCTGCTATAATAGTAATCATAGGGATCATAAATAAGATATTGAAATCAGGAACAAAGTAGCATATAATTAAATTCCTTAACAAGTGATGAACAAGCATCTGAGATCACTGTTTAAATTGGCTGCCTACTCTGTATGCCGTCTTGCTTCCTTGATATCAGAGTCCCAGGCTACATCATGAACCATTTACAGTGTTTGTTCAGAAATGGTGAAAGAGGAATTGATAAAAATGAATTTCTTAAGGAAGCTTTGATTAAAACTCTTAGATGGGTCTTTTACAGCTCTCCTCCTATCCCCATTCCTGGACACTGTTCCCCACCCTCAAACCTGTCTGTATCACTGTTTTGGTAGTTGAAAACTTACTTATCCTGAAGGGATGCTAAGATTCAGTGAGTCATTTGTACCTTAGTGTTGCAATCAGATTCTTTTTCATTGAATATCTGGCCAGAAATCAGAGATAATGAGAAAAATAGAAATTTATTCTTTGGGAGAGAGATGAGCAATTTTGAAATGCAGAGTTTACTTCCTCTCAGTAGAGGGTGTCACAGCATGACATCACTGGGGGTAGGGGAAGGCACAGAGAGACAAATGATAGGATGTCAAAACTTATTTCATCTAAGTGCTGTCTGTTAGTATTCATTCATATTGAAACAAGCTTTTTTGGGGGTCAAGCTAGGAAGCTAAATACCACTTATACTTGATTTTGGAAGATGAATTCTATCTGGTTCCAAATAATAAAAAGTATGAGTCCCTTAAATGTTTTTTTTGGAATGTATCCTCTAGGTGATGTAAACAGTAATTGCTATGTAAACTCAGAAGAAATTTTTTTCATTCAAATTTGTAGTATGGGCAAAGTCAAGGAAAAGTAGGGCTTGAACTATATAATCCTTCTTAAGAAGTTTTATTAGTATATGTTTGTGATACGTAGTGGTTATATCCAGCTTGGGTTTAATACATATACATATTGCATCTTGGTTATTTTCACTCCTCTGCCACTCCCATCCTCCCCTTTTTGCCCCTTTTCCTTACCATCCCCTTCCCATTTTTACAGAGTATACCTCCCTGTTTCTTAACATGGGTTTTTTATTTTGGTCTTCAAATTATTTATATTTTGGGTCTTTCATGTTAGAGAAATCATGTGACACTTAACCTCTTGCAATGGACTTATTTCATTTAGAATTATAGTCTCAAACTCCATCCATTTTCCTACAGATGACTCAAATTTATACACCTCCACTGTGCAAATATGCCTCACTTTCTTTATCTGTTCACTTCTTGAGGGGCCACTAGGTCACTTCTTTGAATTCCCTAATTGTGAGTTGTGCTGCTATAAACATGGGTGTGGGTGTATTGCTGTAATATGATGACTTTAGCTCTTTGGGAAAGAAATTCAGGAGAGGTAGAGTTGGGTCAAGTAGAATTTTTACTTTTAGATTTTTTTATTAAGAAAATATAAAAAAGCAGTCTTATTTCTATGAAAAAATAAAATTTCATGACAAAATAGAGAATAACAATATAATGTTAATGGCCAAAATATTACTCAGAATACAAGTTATAGACAAAAAAACTCTTACAAAGAGGAAACAAACAAAAACACAATACTTTCTCTTTAATGCTATTTTTAGTTTATTAAGTAATCTCTATACAGATTTTCAATGTGATTGTCAGGTTTACATTCCCACAAGCAATGCAGAAGGGTTCCTTTTTCCCCCAACAGCATTTGATGATTTTTAAGTCCTTGATAAAATGGCCGTTCTTACTGGAGTAAGGTGGAATCTCAGTGTTGTTTTGATTTGCATTTCTCTAATGGCCAAAGATGCTGACAATTTTTTCATGTATTTATTGGCTATTTGTATTTTTTTTCTGGAGAAATGTGAAATCCTTCTTAATATTTGAGTGGTGGGAAAGTGAATAGATTAAAGGTATGGAGCTGAAGGCCAGTATAATGTCTGAAGAAAAGTAGGCTGGGTGTGGTGGCACATGCCTATAATCTCTGAACTTGAGAGGCTGAGGCAGGAGAATTGCTGTGAGTATGAGGCCAGCCTGGGCTGCATAGTGAGTTCAAGGCCAGGCTGAACTATGTATCGAGACCTGGTCTCCAAAAAACAAACAAACAAATAAACAACAGTAGAAAGCAGAAGTCCTATTTCATGAGTCTTTAGTTGCACTATCATGGCTGCCTTGATGTTCTGAAACAATTCAAAATGTTTAACTTTCATGGTCATTTTGACTTTGGAGAAAGGGTCAGAAGTTGCATGGTGCCAGATCTGGTGAAAAAGGTGGATGTTTTATGAGCCTGCTGTTCCATTGGACGGAACTTGGCAATAGCATTCACCATATTTTTTTATCACATCTTGTATTTTGACTACTTGGCTGAAAAGTCTGAATTCTTTTCTTAGGGAAGAAATTGCTTTATTTACTGCTTACTATCTCATACTACAAATGTAATTCCAAGTTATTCTTCTTATTTTATGACATTTAACACTTTAAAAAAATAGCTTACATGGAGCTCTCATTTATTTTTGTAGAATCTGAGGTTTCAAATGTGAGAAACTTTTAACACTGAAAATCATTTGAGGCAACAGGATTTCTTAGTGATATATGATAACGTGGAATAGCCTGTGAAGCATTGTAACAGGGTGCAGTATTTGTGGGCCTAGAGCAGTGCTGGTGAAACTGTGGCACTTCTGCTGCAGTGGGCTCTTTGTATCATTGAAAGCTCCAAAGTATTTGCCATCGCTGGCCTGGAGTTTTGAAGTACACCTTCAAAGTACTCTATTATTAAGAATGGCCTAGATGCCAGTACCATAATTCTATCTTTTCAGTTCATTTAATAGACACTAAAAATAGCGTTTTTTCCTATCTGTGACATGATGTGGAAAGTAAGTGGAGAAAGTGAGAGATTCTTCACTGAAAATTTTACAGAAACATTCTGTAAAGCAAGAGCAAATTGTATACGATTTTTATACAGTTTTTGGAATTTATGAAGTGATATATATGTGTAAAGCATAAGAAATTCAGAGTGACCACTGTATGCCAAAATTTTTAGTTGTTTGAAGTGGATTTTTTTGCTTTAAGTGATTGATGTCTGGTAGTAATGTAAAATACAGGTGGAGACTTATAAGTCAGAATTGTTTAAACAAGTTTTCTGATATAGATAATAGATCCCAATAAAAATTCTTGTAAGACTTATGAAACTGAAGTACCCATTTTACCTGTTCCAGTGGCTACCACATCCAGTTGAATTTCCCTTTAAAGTTGTGATCTAGTTTATACTTTCATAAAGGTTTTCTTAAAAAAAAATGTTTGCAGTCAAGTTGAACAGTATCTCCAGATTAATAATTCCAAGAATACTTAGAAAAGGTAGGTGTGAATACTTTTTTATTTCTAAATTCACTATTTTAATACAAATACCCATGGTTTTCTTCTGTGTTTACATGCAGCCAGGAGCTATGGGCGGAGACGAGGTAAATTTTTTTTAATGAGCTCTTTTGCTTGCCAAATTGTGAGTAAATATGAGTGTGTGTATGTGTGTGTGTGTGTGTTCATACCTGTGTGTGAAATAATAATTATTGTATGTTGTGATGTTCTAGCTTAATTATTTCACCAAAGTAATTTTCTTATTATTCTCATATTAATTAGTTTTGGCTGTCTGTTGGTAATTTGTTGTTTAAATCCTAATAAAGATGAGGCAAAGATTATTTCTACCTGTAGATTTTTTCTTAGTATCGCTTATAGTGAATGAATGTGAAGAAACAAAGGCCAAGCATACGTATTTTTCTGCTTTGTATCCACTGTGTCCTTTTCATATTACTTGGAAGCAGACATTAGATTTTAGAGGACAATTTTTGATGTTATCTGTATTGGCTAGTGAATATTTTTTATTACACCCAGGAACATATTTATACTGAGGCTAAATTTCAAGGACTTTCTTTTTGATGGGCCCCTTCCAAACTCTTTACCTATAATTTTTGTGTTCCTTACTTAAAGAGATGCTTCAAAATAGTCTGTGTCCCTGTAAAACCTGCAAACTCTCCTGGCAACACCTCAACAAAGTAGTCTAGTTTTCAGTGGGGTAATGCTGTAACCTTTCTAAGCATTTCCATATCTGTAATTTTTCATGTAATTTTATGAAATGACAAAAGAGAAGCCTAATATTGTGGAAAGAATATGGGGTTTTAGACCAAATAATTAGATTGTAATAATTGCCTTATCATTTAGATCTATTGTCCTCATCTGAAAATTATGAGTTAATAAAACCAATTTTGTTCAACTGCAGAATATTAGTGAAGTTTAATTTTTTTTTAAAAAAAGGAGAGGAAAACCTGTATGTGCAAATCAAAGGCAGTCCACAAATGTATTATAATTTGGCACTTATTTGTAGAAGTTGGGGGGGAAAAGTACTTTATTTGCTGTGTGACCTCAAGTTAATGTGAGACCTAAGATTAAAATTAAAATCTCTTTTCTTTCCTCTTCTTTTTTTTTTTGTTTTGTTTTGTTTTGTTTTTTTGATACACAGTCTGACTATGTAGTTCAGACTGGTCTTGAACTCACTATGTAGCCCCAGCTGCTCTAGAACTGACAGCAATCATCCTGCCTCAGCATCCCAAATCCTGGGATTACAGGCATGTACCCCCAGGCCCAACTGTTTCCCTGTTTGCCAATGTTTACTACCCATCAGGCTGTCACTGATTTGTGTAGTTCTCATGAAAAGAAAATGATGTTAAATTCATAGTATTTTATTATTTATTCTGTAGTATAGTACTTGTAGAAAGAATGAATATTTGCAGAACCTAATATGCATGGCGGAATCATATACAGCATTCACTTTTGCTTTCAATATCATTGCATTTGTGTACTTGATTATTTTTCAGTCATGGAAATAAATACCATTGAATTTTTTGCATTTCTTATTTTTAAGTTAATAAAGTTAAAACCCAGAGATAGTCTTAAAATTATATTGTACCATACTCCCCCGCCCAGCATTGCTAGAAAAATGAACACTGCCAGGAAAGAAAGGGCATAGGCCATTTTACATGGAAAATAGGCACCATCTGGAGAGTGGACAGCAGGGACTGACCTCTCCTCACATTCTGATCAGTCACCAGCTTTGTTGAGATTTTCTGTCTAGTTAGGTTTGTCCTTCTCTTTTCTGTTGCTTTCATTTCTGCTGTTTCATCTCTACTGCCTCATCTTTCTGAAACACCACTTTGTCCATGTTCCCCCATTCTTCCTGTGATTTGGCCCCTCCCTGTTTTTCCAGCCTCATTGTCTCCATTTTCCCACCTTATTTTCCCCTCCCCAGTCCATGTACCTTCCCACAAGTTCTCTCATCTACCTATCTAAGACCTGTTCTTTACTAGTTCAAGCCAAATTCAAGCTTTATACTTTCTAGGAAGCCTTGCCCAGGGGTCTTAAAGGTAGTGGTTTTCTCTACTTTTGCTGCCTTGCATTTTTTTCCTCTTTTCTGTATGCTTTGAATTTTCAACTGGAGATAAGTTCTTTGAGGACAGTATCTACTGTGCCTAATTCTGTGCTGTATGTATAGTTAGTTCTTATGAAATGCTTGTTGATAGGATTATCTTGAATAAACCCTTAGCATCTTATTTTTTTACTTTATTTAATTTTTTGAGACAGGGTTTCACTATATAGTCCAGGCTGGGCTTGAATTCACTGTGTAGCCCAGGCTAGGTCACACTTGGGACAATCCCTACGCCTCAGCCTCCCAAGGGCTGGTATTACAGGTTTGTACCACCATGCCTGGCTGCATCGTATTTTTTTTAAAAATCTTTTTTTCTGAGTGCAGTGGCAAAGGCCTCTGGTCCTAGCTACTATAGAGGCTGGGGCAGTAGATTGCTTAAGCCCAGGAGTTCTGGGCCAGCCTGGGCAACATTGTGAGACTCTGTCTATAGAAAAAATTTTAAAATAAAAATTATTTTTAATAAATAATGGCATATTAAATGTTAGACGCAAAGAATATAAAATCATCAGTAGTTTCTAAACTCTTGGAAAAATGGAAAAACTTTTTCCATATTTCTTTCTCCATATCTGTTTGTAAGGTTTAACTTTATTATTTTCTAATGCTGTGATCTTCTTTGCATCAAATGCTATGTTAAATACTGCGTAGAAGGATTTCATCCCTGCTGTCGTATTTCTGTCTTTTCATTTTTTTGTGGTGCTGGGAATCGAACCCACCCAGGGCCCACAGCATGCTAGGCAACTACTGTATTACTTGGTCCCTGTTCTCTCTATAAGTCTGCAGTGTAAGGGTTATAGATTAAAAAAGGGAATGAAAGGAAGGGGAGCAAACACTAAAAGGCTGCGTATTTGTGGGCAAAAATATTTAGTCTGTGTTTTTATTTAATCCTTTGTTCTCACTATTGAAAAAGGAGAAAGATGATTTTCCTTAAATGTAATTATGTAACAGTGTAGGATGAGGTGGGTATACCTCATACATAACACCCTCATTCCCAAAGAGATGCTTGTTTAGGCCAACCCTGCATAGTATAATTTTGATCAACTGAAACGCTTCCTCATATTCATTTATTCGTGTGATCAAGATTGAATTAACATTTGATCTTTCTTCCAGTTAACACTTAGACTTGCCCCCCACAAAAGCATAAAAAGTAAACTTGCTGATGTTGCTTTGTTGTGTGATTAAGAATAGAGCTTTAGCTATAATCATATTTTGTTTTACATAGACATGATGGTACATTTTTTAGAAATAGAAAGTAATGGAAATATATTTGGACATTTTGAGTTCTGTCAACAAGAATTAGACTAGTGGGATCTTATACCTCTCCTGAAATACCTGGAAAAGCTTCCTGGAATAGGTAGAACTTCAGGAACTATTTGGATGATGGAGTGGAATGGAAAGCAAAGCATTTTACTATGACATTCAATTTAGAAGAAAACTTAGAGGTCAGCTTGTGCCCAGACGCTTGGAGCATATATCCCTGAGTGTATGCATGGGCCAGTTGAGAAGGAGAAGTTGGCTGCAGGGTCATCTATGCTGCCTTGATGAATGGCTTTGGAAACGGGGGGTGAGATTCCTAGACATAGGTGCACCAGGCTTTCGAGGAAGGGTTTATGATGCAAGTAATGGAAGCAGGAAAAAACTCAGGCATCAACTAAAGATTTGGATGGGAGATGGAGGTATGCTCTTCGCAGATCAAGTACTACAAGTAACATAGTTGAAATAGTAGTAGTAGATTAGGAAAAGAATTACATGTGACAGTAAGATTTGAAAATACATATGTTATATATATTTAAATATTCAATTATTTTCCCCATTGATATCCATTCCCCATTGATATTGATATTTTATTTTGTTCTACTGGAAAAATATAGTCTATTACACTAAAGAATATGAAAATGTTCTTCCTTTAGCAAGCTGAATATACAGTAATCTCTGCTAGAAAGTAGTCTATCAGATAGTATCATGTAAGACATTTGCTTACATTTAATGTATGCAGTATTTTTCATTTCACACAAATGTGAGTTTTGTGGTCTTTGTGAAACTTTTGTCCATAAGTGGACATATTGGCTGTGTCGATGGTTTTTTTGTTTTTTTCTTTTATGGGGGTTTTTGCTGCTGGTGATCAAACCCAGGGCCTTATGCATGCTAAGCATATCTTTTACAACTGAGCAATACCCCTCTGTCAGTGTTTATGATGTTTAACAAAATTTCCTAGTTACAGAGTATCAAGGAAACCATAAAAGATCTTCCTAAACAATGTAAATGAACAAATGCCTTTGCAGAAATCATTGATTTCTGTTGTAAAATGTACTTCTATATAGTCCATAAAAATCTATTGACATCAATGGCAAAAAAAATCTATTGACATTAATGACAAAATCTATTGACATTAATCTATTGACATTGATAACTTAAGTTCTGTTGTGGAGCTGAGAATGTAGCTCATTGGTTGTGATAAGCGATAAAAAGGAAAGCATGAAGAATTCCCTCTTAGTTAGGGAGGTCATCTTTTTTTGTTGTTTGTTTGTTTTTGTTTTTCTTCCCGTACCAGGAATTGAACTCACGACCTTGCGCTTGCCAGGCAGGAGCTGTGCCACTGGGCTAAATCCCCAGCCCCAGGGAGATCATCTTTGAAGAGATAATATTTAAGCTGAAATTTAAAGGATGGAGAGAAAGCTGTCTTAAATTTCTTTCTTTCTTTTTTTTTTTTTTTTTTATTCTGGAGAATTCCAGACATTCACAAGTATAGAAGTAAAGATCCTGATATACCCACTCCTTAGCTCCAGTGACTATCAGCATGTTTACCAATCTTGGTTCACATATTTGCTCCCCATTTTGTCCCTGGAATGTTTTAAAGGAAATTCCAGATGTCATAAGACTGCTATTTTTTTGTTTGTTTTTCTTCCGGTACCAGGAATCGAACTCATGACCTCGCGCTTTCCAGGCAGGTGCTTTGCCGCTGAGCTAAATCCCCACCCCCATGACAGC